AGACAAAGGGTGGTAGCACTTAATGGGAGGCTGGGAGTTCCCCCCGAGTCAGTCATGTTTAATATTTGCATTAATGATTTTTGGCATAGAAAGCAAGCAGCATGCAAGCGGAATTTGTGATGATACAGAACTAGGTGTGGTCAATACGAAGGAGGATCAAAATACCATACAGAAGACCCAGATTACTTTGAGAATAGAATAAACTAGATGGGATCAAACCGAATAGAATGAATGGAAGGTTGTGCAATTTGGGACAGTAGTAGGAGTTTTGGTTTCTAAGCGGGGAAAGCGTCATTTGGAAGTGTCAGCGGGGAACATTAAAAGATGAGAGCTCCCAGCTGTTTCAAACCTCGCAGCTTCCTCATCAGCCTGGCAAGTGTCCCTGAGGATGGGGACAGCGCGTGAGATGTGAAGGCTGCGATGCTGCCCCTGTCCTGGCAGGAGAACTGCGGGACTGGGTGTGCACGGCACTGGGGAAACTGCGGATGCAGGGAGCCCTACGGTGCTGCATGCGCAGGGTCACCCTGCCCGGAGCAGACCAAGTGGATGGGCAGGGCAGAATCATGAAAATACACAGCTCCAAAAACAGGACAGCGAAGGCTAAAGATGAATTAGCACCAGTGGAGTCTGGAAACCAGACTGTGTCTAAGCAAGAGACGTGACAATGAAGTGCCACCTATTGCTGCTCAGTTTCTGTTTAGGTTTCTGTGCAGGCTCTAGAGAGAAGTGTTGCTGTCTGGCAGGAATATGGAGGAATCGAAAAACCTTTGGCTTTACAGCTTGCTGTTTCTCCTGAACACATTCCTTATTGACTTCACTCTCTCTAATTTAATCTTCCTGCATTTTATGAGATTGCAATATACTCAATAAGACTTAACCTGCTGAAGCTCAGCCATTGCTCCAACTGTAAGCGATTACAGATGGGAGCTTACCTTCATTCTAGGCTGGTCTCTGAAACGTTTTCATAGTCGTAAAATATTCTGCTGGCTGCTTTTGAAGGGACAGAGAAATAGTGTTTTGGGCTTCCTCTTGGGATCCTCGAGGAAAAAGGACAGGTGGTGCCAGGACATTTGCATAACTCTGAAAGGTGGCTTTAATCAATGACAAATTTTAATCTAATAACTGTGACCAGAGAATCATACATCAACCCCACTGCCACCTCTCCAGGAGGGACGACCATAACAGTGCATGTGCTTGCAGAGAGGCTTTCCTGCTGCTTCTCCTCCTGCTGAGAAGAGCAAACATCAGCTAATCAGCCAGAGGTCCGAAGCAAAGACAATCCCAGCCTCATCTCCATACAGCAGGAAGGGCTCTGGGTGTGCAGGGAGAGAGAGGGTCAAAGCAGTCAGAAGGGACAGTGAGTGTCTTGCCAGGGAACCCAAAGTTTATCCAGCGTCAGAGGGCAGGAAAAGACCTTTTAGAGCAGCAGTGTCTGGCATAAACCACCAGCACCGCAGCTGCTTCATGTCATCCTTCTCCAGGCATGTGCTGCTCTCAGTGCACTGGTTAAAAGGCCAAAAAGAGGCCAGGCACCATAGTGCTCTCAGAAGGACAGGGGGCATTGCCTGGTCCTTGGCCTCGTGCTCCAGCTCAGGACACTGCCACAGCTCAGAGACCTGCAGGAGAGCTCCCCTGGGAGTCTGGGCACGCGGAGCACCGCGGCTTTCCCGAGCACAGCGGGCAAATGCTTGGCATGAGGCTTCCCTCACAGCGGCCACCACGAGGTTCCCACAGGGTGCTCCGGCTTCTGACGAGTCCCTCCGAGGCCTGGGCCTGGCGCGCGCAGCCCTCGGCCGCCCCGGCGGCGCGCGCTCTTCTCCGTGTGGCACCGTGGGCTCTCGTGTGGCAGCCCAGGCGCGGGCAGCGCCGCGCACGTCCCCTCAGCCGAGGTGCGGGCCCAGGCAGGTTTGGTGGGGAATGCTGGTGCTTTTCCGCCGTTGCGAGCAGTCTGCTGCCGCTCTCCTCCCCACTGCGGCCGCTCGCCCTGGAATGCGGCTTCCTTCGCCTGATTAGCTCTGTCTGTCAGTGGGGTGAGTCCCTCGCCTGCAATCAGTAACCCGAGCTAGTGCTGAAGACATGCTCGTCCCGCGGCCTGACGTGCCTCCTGCCTGCCTTAGCGTCAGGTACTCGGGCACGGGCGCTGCTCAAAGAGCTCTACAGCCGCTCTTCACAGCGGGGGGACTGAAAACCCTTTCTCTCCAGGAAATCCTCTTCCTCTGTGGTCTTTCATTCAACTGCAAAATACTTGTGAGTACTCCCACAGACATCAGCAAGAGCCATGGATCAAGTTTGATGCTAAATTCCCTTTTATGTGGCTTTCCACTTGGAAACGGGAGTTTGTGGTAGTGACCAGAGCTCTGGGTAGCCCTAATGCTGAACAGCCAGAGGCATGCGTGTCTTGCCACCAGCCTTGCGGTCAGCAGAGGAGCCAAGTTTAGACTTAGCTTAAGCAAGCACAATTGTAACACCCGAAGTTTTATCAACCACCTCTTAACTTCTTGTATTTAAACACCTACTCCACATTTACCTTTCACACAGGCAGATTTCTTCCAGCCCTCAGATAACGTGCTTGCGTGTGACCTGAGCTGACATTTTTCGTGGTTTGAGTTTGCCTAGAAGTGGCTGCTTCCCTAGTTTCCCTGCGTACCAAGGGATGCAAGCAGGTCGTATTGGGTGAAACCAACTGGCTTCTCTTATTGCTCCATGAGGCAGAAAGACATGAAGGAGTGATCAGCCCATGTGCTCTGATGTGTCAGGCACAATCAGGCTCCCTAGTGCTCCAGATAGGCTTGGAACAACAAGCCCAGCTGTAAATCAGAGCATCAAGACCTGGTGTGTACAGCATCCTCCGTGTGCCAGCAGCCAGCTGCATGCGTGCACGCTGGCCTGCCCGTGCCAGCGCTGTGTCCTCGCACCAAAGGGCTGTGGTGTCCAGAGTGACACTGCTGCACAACGGGGGCTGATGGCATGACCCCCGGGTGACGTGCCACATGTGGGGATGCTTTCAGCCCTCTCCAAATGACTGGAACGTACAGCCGTGTCCTCACAGCTCTCCCTGCTCTGCATCCTCATCTCTCCTGTGGGGCTTTCTAAAATCCTTCGTCCTCTTACAAGCCAGCTTTCTGCCCCATGCTGGGTTTCAGTTTTTGCTCTCGTGCTAACAGAAGCCAAGCAGTGAGTTTTTTCTGGATTTTTTGTTCTGGATTCCTTTTCAGTTTGTAGACAGAGTCTTTGCATTTTCAGAGCCCCAAAGAGCACCACCCCACTTTACCACCCGTGGCCCTGTTGTTACCCCGTTTTGGTGCACCTTGGCAGCATCCCAGTCAACAGTGTCTCTGAAAGCACAGGAAGTTGAAGACTCTTTTGAACGCAGGTTGCAAGATAAAACCTGCCTGAACTTTTCTTAGCAACTTCAGCTGTCATCATTCCTGTGTGCTAAGGGGGCGGAGGTGGCTTGTAAACACACAGCAGGGGAAAGAGAGGTGTTCCCAAAATGCACCGGAGATTTATAAAGGGAACCTCAGTTCCAGGGACTTCTTGACAACTGGCTCCATACTGTGACCAGAGGCAGCGGGACAGCTTGTCCCAGGCAGGACTGGACGCCTCCAGGTGACATGGGACCCGCGCACACATTGTGTGTGAGGAATACAGCAGTGTGGGACCTGTGCTCTCTGGGGAGGTACTCGGGGTTTTTGCAGTAGGCTCTGCACTGGCTTTGGGTGCCTATGAAGAAGTGCCCTTTGGAGGGCACATTTGACTAGTGATTTGCTGCCTGAGGCCGCTTTAGAGAGGCTCTAACTGATTTCATCATGTTGCACATCTTATTTAGAGTCCAGATTATCGCTGGCTGAAGACCAGGATTCAATTTTTAGGATTCTTGCCATGCTGGGAGACCTTGAGGAAGCTCCTTTTCCCTGCTCCGTCTCGGGCTTCCCTGGGGACAATCTACACAGTGCTTTCATTAAGTGCTTTAATAGGACTGGCGCTGTGGGGTGATGGCAGCTGCTGTGATCACTGCTCAAGCCTGCTGCAGAGAACACATCTGGGTGGGCTGACAACAGCTAGAGCAATCACTGCTCTGACATGCCCGGCTGGGAAGTGTGACCATTTCACCCTTTGCATTGTATTAGTGTAACCTTTAGCATGCGGTTTCCTGCTGGTGGGGCGAGCGGAGGCAGAGAGCCTGCTCTAGCAAAGCTGGGCTTGGAGCTAATTCTGCAGTTCTGGTGCGGAAACCCAGGATGGAGGAGCATTTCGTGCCAGTAAAAGGCTCCCAGAGAGCAGGCGCGGGTCAGCAAGTTCTCAGTGCTTTAGGACGGACAACACTGACAACCTGCAGGTTTTTTTTTCCTTTTGCCTGGATCCTGGGCTGCCCCGAGTGATCCTAAGGGCACCAAGAAACTGCATGTCCCATTGCGAGGCAGCACCTAACGCGTTGCACGGAGGCTGCCTCAGAAGCAAAGAGGAGATGTGGCATTCCACCGCGCTTTCTGCCTTCTATGTGGTGCTGTTGGACTTGTGTGTCGTGGCCTGGGAGGACACTGAAACCAGTTAGATCTGCCCCAGCTGAAGGCACTGGGGATGCCCAGATCTCAATGTGCCAAAGAAACTCGCCCAGACCATGCCAAGGGGAGACTTTCTACTTCAAATATGTGAATCTGCTGGCTGTATCCGCTTTGCATCCAAGATGGACATTAGTCTGCAAGGGATCTTCTGTTCTTCAGCAGGGCCTCACAACTGCCTTGGTGGTGGTGCAGCCACTGGTGTCTCTGGTGCCCGGTTCTTTCTCGTGCATGGTGGCAGGTAATGTGCACATCACCGGTGCAGAGCCAGCTGGCTGTTCAGGAACAGGCCAGCGTTGGGAAGGGGCCGTGCAGTGAGAGAGGAGAAGGGACTCCTTAGCATAACCCTCTGCACTGGCCCTGCTGCCGTCTTCTGTGACATGGGAGCCTGCTTAACCAGCATAGCTGCTGATCTCTGTCTTTCCCATTTCCTTGCAGTCCTGGACACACAACATCCAGCGGGAGAAGGAGTTCCTACGGAAGCTGGTGAAAGCCCGAGTCATCACTGACCTAACCAGTGGGATTTGAGTGGCTGCAGCCACTGCCTCAAAGAGAGGAGAGGAAGACACACGCTGCAGCTCTGGGAGCAGGCACGGGCAGCCCTCTGCAAGAATCCCACCTCACTGGAGACAAGCAGGGATGCCCAGGTGCTCCGGGACGGCCCTCTCGCATTGCCAGGCTGCACAGGGGTTGCATCTGCTGCCTCCTGTCCGAGAGCTGGCAGGAGGTGGGCATGGGACTGAGCGGGCAATTCCTGAACTCTGCGTAGCAGACGGCTCTTCTGTGTCTAGAATTAAACGGGAAAGACTCAGGAGAGAGGAGAGAGGTTGGTGAACAAAACAATTTGTGCCAAATGGGAGGTGGTGCTGCCCTGAAGCAGCAATGCCTGAATGTACAAAGTATTATTTTTTAAAAGAAAAACTGCTGGAATCATACTAGAAATACCAAGGTGCACAGCAAAGCCTGCTTGTGCACAGCCCTGCAAAAGGCTCGGCCTCTCCATGCTCCATCTGCGTTGTCACTGGTCTCAGATTTTCCCCAGGAAAACAAATCCGTCCAAAACTTCAGTGTTGTTGGTGCTGCTATATTTTAAAGGGAGAATGGCTTTCCCTCATTCTCCACTTGAAGTTTCTGATTGGGGATGAGTATGGGTTTGTTTTTCTGCTCTTTTCCTTGCTTCCTGCATAGAGGCAGCAACAGCAACCATTTATTTGGCAACTATAGCTGTGGCTCTGCCCCGACCCCAGCGTGGAGCAGGGAGCTGGTGGCTTTCTCTGCCTGCAGCAGATCCTCGCTGCCTTCCTGCCCGTCACAGCGCTGAGGAACCTGCCTCGTTGAGCTCAAGGCTTTCAGGCATCTTGGGTTGTGCCTGCTGTGCAGGACCCTTGTGGAGCCCATGCAGATCAGTGTCACCATTTCTGGACAGCATCTCGCTTTATTTTTATGTGGGAGAGGAGTAATTTATGTTTTGGAAGGAGGTCAGATCTTGCGTGGAGATCTGAAACTTCACAGTGTTTAAGAGCAGGCGGCTGAAGATGTTTGCTCCGCATTCCCGACTCGATTGCGTTTCCTCTTTAAGTGACTCGTGACCTCAGTGGTGATAGAGCCTGCTGGCAGGGCTGGGGGGGCCTGCTGGGAACCTCTGCCTTCTGTTTGGCCCCTGCTCACTTCATTTCCAAGCTCCTTCCGTGCTGCTCTGGCACTGCTCCTATCCTGCTCTCAGGAGCACGTCCCTTCCTTTGCCGCCTTGGTCCCGAGATGCAGTATTTGCACATTTGATTTGTGTACGTATTTCAGAGGAGCTGGATTAAACTGAGCAACGCGCCCGAGTGCGAGGACAGTGAGGGGATCTCACCCGCCTGGAGCGCGTGGGCAGAGCGGGAGCGCTGGGGCGGTGGGTGCACGTGGAAATGCGCTCCCGCTCCCAACTAGCCTGGACGGGACCGGACTGCAGCCGCAGAGGGCACTGCCCCAGGCCGGGTTCCTGTGTGTCGAGGCACCCGTGTGCAGCCAGCCCCAAGGAGGTCAGTGATGGGGTTCCCCAGCGGGTACTAGTGGGGCTTGTGGTCACCGTGCTGTATCTGGGGTGTCAAGAGGGTCGCAGTCAGCGCTGCTCTGGGCTGGAGGGGGAACTCAGTCCTCACCCAGATGAAGGGGAAAGGATGCTCAGAGCAGGCCTCGCATGGGAGCCTAGGCCATCCTGCCCCTGCTGCCTTGCGGTGGGTCCTGCCTCCTGGGCTGAGAGAACACAGGGGATGTGGGGGCAGGATGGGCAATGAACCAGGCACGGGGCAGAGGAGGAAACTGTACAAAATGGTTTGAAACCAGGCTCCAGGAAGAGGCAAGTCTCAGTCTTGATATGGTGCTGGACACACGCTCAGGTAGGAGATGCCCCCAGGAGCCTCTGCTGTGTGGGGCACCCGGTGTGCCCATAGCTGAGGAGCCTGACTGGGGATGAGGCCTGTGCAGCTTCTGGTCAGGGCATAGCTCAAAGATCCTGTCTCCTCCAGCTCCCAGGGGACAGAGGTGCTGAGGCGCTCGTCCTCGTGCCCCCGTCCCCATCCTGCCCAGGGACTCTGCCTGACTGCCCGAGCCAGGCAGGCCCTGCTCCCCCCAGGCACTGTCTGCCCTGGCAGTTCCTCCCCGAAGATGCTCTGTGGGCTCTTCTGCATGCTGGGCCAGGGCCGTGACTGACGTCCTATTCTCCCCCAATTCCTTTTTATTCCTGCTTGAGGAGCGGGATTCCCACGGCTCTCACCAAGCGACGCTCCCGCTGCGGTCCCTGTGCACCCAGGTCCTTCCACGGTGGCAGGGGAGGGGGACACAGTCCTGAGGTGGTCACTGAGGGCAGAGTGGGCTCTGTCGTCTCTCGCGGTGCTTTTCAAGCAGCCCCTGCAGGAGCCCTGGCGCGGTTTTGGGGATGATGGGCAGTGCCCACACGCTGTGTTGAGCTGAGATGCCAGAGCAGGACAGTCATGGCAGGGAGGAGGAGCAGGAGGGTGAGGAAGAGCCACCGGTGTCAGTGCTGGGCCCCTCTCCACCTCTGAGGAGCGGAGACGCAAGGCCGAGCAAGAGAGGCCTCCCTCGGCGAGGCCGAGCAAGAGGGGCCTCCCTCGCTGCCACACAGTGGTGACCGGCCATCTCCTGGGCAGCGGGACGGTGACCTTCCCTGCGGGGATCCTGGGCTACACGGGAGACCTTCTGCTAGCAGGATCCTGCGGGGTCCCCTGGGATCCGCAGGCAGGAGGCGAGAGGAGGGAGAGGCACAT